TTCATCATAGCGGTTCTCAGAAAAGAGGCGTGGATAATAAGACGATACTTATTCGAGATGGTTAATGTTCGGCAAGTCACATTCTGATGCTAAGAGATGTCTAGATTTCGTGTATTACTTGCCACACACAGGCGCATGCGGAATTGCCTAACCTTCTGGGAGAAATGTGATATTTTCCAACCCTTCTACACGTATTAGAAAATATTACAATCCATGAGGTTTTGAGGACCAGGAGGTAGCCACCGAGATATTTGCTGCAATCTCATCCCCTTTCAGGTCGCACATTCCCTGGGGATTAACGCTTAAACGCGACCTAAGAACCTGGGTAGAATAGTTCTCCAGCTGGAAGTTACCTGCTCTTGGTTGGCGTGTTAAAACGTCACACTGCGGAGTCGAAACAACTCCCTACTTGATTTCTCCCGAATAGGAGGGTCGAGTCCCGATTCCTAGGGAGAACCACGCGATCGAATGAGTGGGGCGTGGGACCCAAGGAAACCTCCCTACTTCCCCACTTGGGCACTAGCAACGTGGGTACCGCAGGAGAGCTCAGGAAACTGAGTGGGTGACCGTCTCTCCACTGACACTCTTTGGTACGGCTCTTGCAAGCCACGCTTTGCCATTAGCGACGTAGGAGCTGCCGAGACACTCCGTGAACTAGGTGAGATTTCCCAATCCTTCACCATGTCCGGCCTCCTCCCACCCCCCTGCGGAGGTATAAGTAAGTAAGTTCACGTAAATGAGCTACTTGATATCTCAATCCTAAGCATCAAGACCATCTGGGACCACCTTCTAAGATTCCTCTAGGGGATGAATCCAGAAAGTATTTCAGGGGGTGGCCCTTTGCCAAAAATATTTCTTGAAATAAAAAAAATGTTAGCATTTTAAAAAGAGTGTACTTATAATGGTAAAACTCCTTTGGAATACGATGTGGTCAATAATATGTAATAATTGATTTGAATAAACTGAGTAAAATTACAAAACAATTTCATGAGGGCATGTGAATAAGCATCCATGCATTGACGCATGGAGAGCGTGTGATTAAGAATCAGGGCAAGAGAAACATTTCTCTCTAAAAGGAAAAGCACTTTCTCAAAAAGAGAAAGTGGGGGAAACACAAAAAGACTTTGGGCAAACAATGTGTTGAAATACACACTTGGAGCAGTAAGGAACATCCTTTTTGCTTTCTAGGAAACTCATGTAGTGGTGTACATTCATTCCAAAACATTGCCAAACTCCTCCATTGCAAAATCAAGAGATAAAAGTTGATATTTTTCTATTCTACAAATAACCAGTTCATTAGATAAGTTTTAACTTTCATGACCTTGATAAACAGAACAAACTAGTATATGTCAGGGATCATCAAAAGCTAAAGGATGCAGGATTATTTTATCATTGTTTTATTTTGTAATCCTGACTTGAATGATATTACAGTTTCTAGTTTTTTACATTATAATTTGCAATGAAGTAACACAAAGGAGACTGATGCTAACTGCCTTACCCTCTCTGAGCTCATCTCCCTCTCGGTATTATCAATAAGATCTCACACATTCCTAATGGTATTACTGTCTTTCAAAGCACTGTTTAAGTAGGTAGGTGTTGAAATAGATACACCAAAGGCAATCAGAATTGTTTGATACATTAATATGATTATTGATTAGGCCTGCAAATAGTACGTATGACTTTAAAATTAATATAATTCTTTAAAGATTATGTGTGCAGTTGGCTAAATCGGGAACATAGGAAGTTGTATTTTCAGTTGATGAAATATGTGACATTTTGACTCATATAGAGGAATATATAAATTAATATACTACAATATTACAATAATGCATGTGCTATATCAAAATTCTGCACAAATTTTAAAAAAATTATAAATTATAATTTTATAATTTAAATTTATTTTTCCAATTTGGTATAATATAAGTTTCAAATCTTGGATAATACTACGAATGTGATGCAAAATAGAAAATTATTTATTAAATATATTAAATAAAAATATTCTTCAATTTTGAAAAAAAATTACATATTTATTTTATAAACAAAAACATTGATTTCTTAATTAAATAAGTAATTAACTTACTTTCAAGTAATATAATACATAATATTTTTAATTTTTAATAACCACTAATACATTTTTTTATTATTATTATAAATATTTTTTAAATTTCTAATGGCTGTCCATCTGTTCCGAGGTCTTATTTATTTTGATGTAATATGATGAAATCATGGGTCAGAATTTCCATTGCATAAGGGACACTAATCCAGGAGATAATTCCAAGGCCTTAATATCTGGCATTTCTTTGTGGATGCTTAGATGATCTTTCCATACTTAAAAATGTTTAAATTATGCAATCCAATTCAAGAAAATTGGAATAGAACGCATTCTCAGGGGTATTTGTGTAGGATTTATTCAGATTGTGCTGCAAAAGCAAATATGGACTTTATATCACATGTTGATACATTATTTTCCCTCTCCTGGAGTTCTCAATGTCCAACCTCGTCTAGCAAATTGCACCCTAGAAGTTATTTGTCCTCAGATCTCTTTTCCTAATGTCCCTGGCCTCAATATGATGTTGACATGTACACCTCAGTCTCAACTATATTTCTTAAACCAAGTTCCACGTGGCATATGTGTTCTGTCAGCATTTGCAAATTCGAGGTGGAAGTGGTGGTGGTGGTGGTGGTGGTGGGGGGCAGCTCTGCATACATGCATGCTACAGTCAGGCCCAGCGGATAATGTTCGTATGGTGGGTTGCTATACCCACAATAAAATTCTGAGTGGGTAAAATACCCACTCTCAATTTGGGATGAAAGAAATAATCTATAACCCTCTAATTCTAGATATGAAGGAAGTTTCTCAGTATGGTATTGACTCAAAATATATGTTTGATCAACTGTGTTGCAAGATCAGCTCAACTATATTGCAATTTTATATGTTTATAGCAACATAACTGACTTAATTTATTTCCAAAAATTGTTAAACGAATTTATATAAAAAAATGCCAAGTGCAACGATGTTTTGAAAAATGAACTGCTTAAGTTACATAAAATAAATGTGTTTTCAATTTGATGACAATTTAATGATAACCATGACAATTTGAAAAATTTATGATTTATATCTTCCCCTTCAAATACTTTTTTGGGGGGGGGGGGGAAAGCTCCCTCCTTGGGATCAACTACTCACTTGCACTGAACACAAATGCGGCAAACCAGCCCTGGCTACAGCCAATCTTTCAAACGTTTTGTGATAGTAGTGACTACATGTAAATCAGTGGTATTAAATAACCACTCACAAATAACAAATTTGATCAATTTTATTTTTAGTGAGTATACGTAAATGCATGAAAAACACTAAATTATGTTAATTAATCACAATCTTCCCAAATTTTATGGAAGTCGTTTGTGGAAGTCTTTCTTTTGATAGCAAACACCACACCTACCTTAGGTTGAAAATTACATTTATTTTTTAATTTTTTTTTATTAATTTTTGTATTCACAAGCTATCATTATTTTACAAGGAAAGTTCAAAGTTTGAGCTACATAAAAGTCATTCAGTTTTTTATTTTTCCAATTCAATTTTTTCATCCACTGAACCAAGTACATCCCATTTATAAAGCATTTTGATATTAATGACAAAGCAAAATATTTTTTTTATTACTAAGATAATTGTACTCTATTGCAATTCTTGATTGAGAATGCTAACATTACTGACTATTTTTGAGAAAAATGTATGTACTTGTTCATTATTTTGCAAAGTATATCATTTCTGAAAACCGCATTTGTTTCCGTGTCGTGCGAGTCGTCGAAGCCACCAAAGGTAAGCACTCAATTTAATAAAACTTAATAAATAGATTTTTTATTTGTAAGAAAGTCATTGACAACAGTTGAAAAGTGGTTTTTAAATTAAATCTAAAGATAGTTTTTCATAAAAAACTAGCTATGATAGTTATTATAAAGTTAGTTTACTAAAAAGCTTGTGATTATGATTCGCTTCATTTGACATAGTATATACTAGTTCTCGTGAAGGAGAAGTTCTATGTTAAAACTAATTAGACCTATTATACAGGAGCGTCTCTATAGAGATTCGCTGTCATATAATTAGATACAATCTGTTCCTACAGATCTTATTACAAAAAAATACGCGCATTATTTACTATATCGAGTAATGATCAGACTTATATCATGTGTGAAAAAAAGTCGTAATACATCACTCACAATACTTAAACTTCTTGATATGTGTTATTTACATTTTTATATGAAAATGTGGAACCCTTTATTGTAATTCCTGTATCAAATTTAATGAAAAAGTTTGCATCAGAATCTTTGTAATTTAGAACAATTTCAAAATCTTGCCATGACTGAAGATAAATTTGAAGGCTGCTGAAATAATTTATGTCATAAAAGTCCTATTTGCTTCAATTTTTACCAATAGAAATTTAACTTGGCTAAATATCGGCTAAAATCAATTTCACCTGATATAAAGAGTTATAATTTAGCAGAGGTTATATTTAAAAATAACCAATTTTTACCGTATTTTCATTGAAGACGTTATTGTTCAATTTTCCAAAAAGTTTAGTAAACATAATTTCGTTTTCAGATTTCGCCCAAGGCAGGAAGGAGCTTTCATTTTTAAAATAC